TGCCTGTTCAAAATCATTGAGTATTAATCCGATCTGAAGATTACAAAAGGACCCACTAGCAAAAATCAGGTTTACAAATGCTTTCCTTGATCTTCTGTACTTTCCAGAGAAAGCAGAAGAGCATAATTTAGAGCCTTGCCTTTATAAACCCCATTAATCTCCACTTGTCCTGTCTGGTTGTTGCAATTATCAGATTTCCTGAGATTGTTTTTAATTATTATTTTGGCAGGCACAGAAAAAAAGTTTACTATTTTTCAGAAGGGCAGTGGCAGCAATAATTTATCATTGAGATCATCTGTGTTTGTGTTTCCTTACTCAAAATAAATTACTGGAGAAAAACTCATCTATTTTTCATAGACAGACTTATAAATGGAGCTCTGGCCAATTGTAAAGATTTGGAGAGATTAAAAAGCAGCCTTTCAGTTGGAGGAATGATTTTGCGTTATTTGTCTTCCACAGGGGAAGCATCCTGAAACAAACAATCACAGGCCACATCCAGGATAACAGCAAACAAATGAATATTGAAGCACTCAAACACTACACGTTAACCAACTGTGCCTTCTGTGGGGAATATTTCTTCTCAGCAGACCATGCCCTCTTTACTCTATTTAAATGACAGAGAAATTTGCATGAGTATCAAGCAACTTCTGAGTGAGTTATAGGGATGAAGGACTTCATGCTTTGCAGCTACTGAAATGGTGTCTCAAAAGTAGACAGGTGGTTCAGATTTTCCAAGAGCTAGCATCTTCCTACTCAAATCCAGACTGAGCCGTGGTCACCTCATTGTGCGCCCGCTGCACAGCACTGCTTCGGTACATCGGGTACCACCCATCCAGCAGCAATAGATTCTTCATGCTTTAGAGAAGAAAGCCCTTCACCTCCTGACCAAATTAAACCATGAATGACTTCATTGACGCTATACCAACTTGTGTGCGTCACCGAGTACGTCCGAGAGCACTTCTCACAGCTCTTGGTGCTGCACCTCTGAATCTGTTCCACTGAACTGTGGGAGGACTTAATTCCCCTGGCCCCTGGGACTGGTGAAAAGGCACTGGAAGAACAAGTCTCTAACAAAAAAAGGAGGCAGGTTACCAGTTTGAGTGACACTTTACACCTCTCAAAGAGCCAGCCAAATTGGGTCTAAACTGAAGAAAGACATGTGCATGCAGTAGGAAGGATAAGGCCTGTGCGTAACAGAAGAGAGAAATGAAGTCCCCTGCCACTCTAAGCTCTCCAGGTGGATAGGGGGTGGGACTTTGCAACTGAAGCCAAAGGGGCCCCAATGCCCTGGTGTACTTGTGGCCACATATTTCCTTAACCCATCACTATTCTTCCCCACTGAGTGAATCCAATCAATTGTAAACGCTATGGATGATCAGAAGTTCCCCTGAAACCCAAGCAGCAATCAACTGATACTTACATTTGGTTGTTTACTGTGTAGCTCATACAATGCCAAGTGCTCGTCCTAAAAATGTTTTAACTTTTAAAAATAAATTACATAACAGTAAGTATCCTGTGATCAGTAGTTACACACCTGTGGAAAACAATACACACAATCTTTTTAAAATTTATCATGCCCATTTCCAACTGTTCCAAAATACATCTAAATGTAGAATTAGTACATACAAGCAAACCCTATGGTAGCTTGCAAAGGTAAGTGGATTTAGGGTTTTTTTTTCCCCTTTTGACTGAAAAACTGACTAAGTAGAAAGGAAGTTGGCTGGGAGAGGGGAGATTCCACACTCCTGAGAAGCAACCAAGAGGAGAGGTCCAGAAGAAGAAATTTGTAATTCAAGAAGGCTAATCCTAATCCTGAAGAACATTTGTTTGGTAGGGAAACAAGCAGGGAATGGTGTTTAGGTGTTTTAAATGTGGCAGGCGCCAACCTTTTTGGCAGATGTGCTACAAGATAAACCCTGTCCTTTCCCCAAGTGCTACTCCAGTCCTATTCCCAATCCACTGTTCTGCTTTCCCCTCCCTGTCTGCCCTATTGCTGTTCTTGCCATCTGATCTATTGCTCTGCTCTCTTCTGCCCACCCTGTCTGCTGTTTTTTCTGCTCCCTGCCAGGAGCGCAGCTCAGGGGCTGCTGCCTACCATGGGCTCTTCTGAGGCCTC